ATGGCAAAATGTTAATAGCTACAGCTAGATTAATAACTGTTGCTTGTTTATAGCCATGGTGTATGGTTGATAACTCTGCTTTCTACTATGGTCTATGGTTCATAGCTAAGTTAACAATTATGCTAAAAAAACACCATGTTATAACTTGGTCTAGAACTACGGTTCCTGATAGATGTATCTATAGTTCATGCGGGCTTAACACCAACTTACAACTGGGGGTTGCCACCTTGCAATAATTTATGGCAGAGCACTACTTTTGTGTTTTGTGCTTTTAGGAGTCATTTTGTATTGTAGGGATCTGGGCAGAAACTTCCGCCAAGAAAAAATGCGTTGTGACCTTGGGGTCATGTTTCTTCTTCCTTTGCGGGGGTACTTTGGCACTCGGGATGATGTATATTATATACTCACTCTTTACCAGTTGCGAAGAGATTTGTTTGTGGTGGAAGCACAATCCAAATCATGAGTTGGCAACTCAGTACCAATGTTCCTGCTTATCGAACTACTATGAGCTGTATCAACCAACAATAATGTCAAGTTCATATTAATCAATGCCCCCCAGAAGGTAGGTACGTAGGAAGAAGGTTCTGCTAAGGTTCTCCCCCCAAATAACCGACCTCCAAGGTTGAAGTCATACGAGATCAACTTGGAATCGATATCAGTCCTTTTAAACCTAAAAGAAATCAAAAGATTGGACAGGATTTCATTTGAGACCAGTCTACTTTCAATTGATTTTCCTTTTAAACCAAAAAGAAATCTAAAGACTAGTATAGATTCGTAAGGATTTCAATTGATATCGATCTACTTTCAATTGATTTTTCTTTAAAACCAAAAAGAAATCTAAAGAGGCCAGAGGGGTTGATTAATTACGGGGAACCCTGCCTACTATTTGGTGGGGACATGGGCTCATGATGGGTACCCTTTGGGAGCTTCTCAAAATGATGGTGTTTAAATGGATTTTAATCTAAAAATGATCATTTGGGAAATCGTTTTTTTTTTGAAATTTAGCTTTGGACCAAGATTGCAAGATTAAGCCTGTGACAGCAAAGTCACAAGTCTGTGACTGCAAAGTCACAAGCCTTCAAAGCAAAGTCTGTGGAAAACAAAAGCAATGAGCAGCATGGGGAGAAGAGTTGGGGACAGCAAGGGTTTATCAGCATCCATGAGAAGCAGCAGTTTCAGCCAGCATGACTATGTTCAAAAGAATTAGCATTGATATTGATAAACAAGAAAAACGGGAATGTCTCTGCGGGGGTTGATCAATCCCTAGTGGATTATAATACTAATACTTGACATTAACCTAGAAAACAAAATGGCTTCGCGAAGCGTTAAAATCTTTAAAATCATTGAATGAAATTCAGTCACATTCTACAGGAGGCCATGAAAAAATACAGGGTTTCAGCATGGTGGGCAGAGGTGACCCAGCTTGATGAGGATCATTGCGACCATTGATGCTGGCAATGGCTGTAAACAATTGTGGGATGTTGATTTCTCTTAAGGTTGAATCATACTAAATTGCCGTTTTGACTTGCTAAATTATGTGAAGGCGACATTTATCATGTTGAACCCATTACGAAATCAATGGATTCTGAATGGATTCCTGGCACTTGGCCGACCTTCTGCCATGTTAAAACCGCCGGACCCTGGCGAAAGCCATGCGCGACCTGTTTTGCCATTTAATCCAGTCATGCAAACTTGGTGTGCTGTACTTGTTTGTGACCCATGGCCAAATCAATAGGACACCCAGTACCAAAAGGGCCCCTGTCCCCTGTTGGCCGGATTCAGCCTTTCCACTGTTGTCAAGTTGTGAGCACATAAGTTGCACGAAGAATCCCTTTATCTGCATTTCCTTTGAAAAGAACAGGCTCTGACACTGCTCAAGCAGATGCGGTTAGACATAAAATTCCTTGATCCCCTGACATGTCACCATCTATTCAAATCATGGATTCCCACATTGAAATTCAGGAGCGACAAATGGTGTCGTATATTTAGTGCAGGATGGGTTCAAAGGTCCTAGCTCAAAGGTCCTAGCTGCTTGATTTCAACACAAATATCACTGTCTTGTCGCGTCAAATCTGAATGATACCCAGAACATCCGAATCCAAAGACCAGAAATGCGAAGCAGCAGCCAACACTCACCCCTAGGTCGCCTGTCTTCCTTCAATAAGCGCACAGCAACTCCTTCAGGCATTTGGCGTTTCGATCCAACTGGAGAAGTCAATTCCGTCATCATGTCTATTGCGCGCATACCGGTATATTGTGTTTGAAGATGTTGTAACATTTCACATGCATGTATTCCAACTCGGTAAAGAGCATAATGTTCAAGTGCGTATGTGCAATTACAATCAATTGCATGACAACAAGCCGGGCCAATATTAGTTCCCAAGAACTGCCATAATTTGTGGCGCGGGGTACTCGAATCGCCACAAACAGGAACTTATCCCAAACAAAGAACTTAAAACATCTTGAAACCACCTACCCATCTTAGTCACCCCAAAAACAAACAGTAAACATTTAAAAACAAGCGAAAAATATACGGTTTATACAAATATATATATATATATATTTATTTATATATTTACACATACATGCATGCATGCATGCATGCATGCATGCATCCATGCATGCATCCATGCATACATGCATCCATGCATCCATGCACGCATGCACGCATGCACGCATGCAGGCATGCAGGCATGCATACATGCATACATGCACACATGCAGACATGCAGACATGCATACATGCATACATGCATACATGCATACATGCATACATGCATACATGCATACATCCATACATCCATACATCCATACATCCATACATCCATACATCCATACATACATATATACAGACAGAAAGACAGACAGACAGACATACAGACATACAAACATACAGGCATGCAGGCATGCATGCATACATCCATCCATACATATCATACCATACCATACCATACCATTACATCACATCACATCACATTACATAACATTACATTACATTACATTACATTACATTGCATTAATACATACATACAGACATACATACATACATTACATACATACATACATCCATCCATCCATCCATCCATCCATCCATCCATCCATCCATACATACATACATACATTACATACATTACATACATTACATACATTACACACACACATACATACATTACATTACATTACATTATATTACATTACATTACATTACATTAATATATACATACATACATACATACTTACATACATACATACATACATACATTAATACATTACATACATTACATACATTACATACATTACATACATTACATACATTACATACATTACATACATTACATACATTACCATACATTACATACATTACCATACATTACATACATTACCATACCATACATACATTACCATACCATACATACATTACCATACATTACATACATTACCATACATTACATACATTACCATACATTACATACATTACCATACATTACATACATTACCATACCATACATACATTACCATACCATACATACATTACCATACCATACATACATTACCATACCATACATACATTACCATACCATACATACCATACATACATTTACATACATACATTTACATACATACATTTACATACATACATTTACATACATACATTTACATACATACACTTACATACATACATTTAATACATACATACATTTAATACATACATACCATACATACATACCATACATACATACATACCATACATACATACCATACATACATACATACATACCATACATATATACATACATACCATACATACATACATACATACCATACATACATACATACCATACATACATACATACCATACATACATACATACCATACATACCATACATACCATACATA